TGTGTGTGTGTGTGTTCGTGACGGAAGATTTACACCTTAGCCTTTTTGAGGTTGTTTCTTGCTTCGCGTCAGGCTTCGCTTCCTCGGTGTGCATCACACCCCTTCTGTGGCATCATAGCGCACTGGAGGAGGGGACCCACATCCCAAAACAGAACGCACACTCTGAGAGAAGAGAGAAACGGAGTGAGTGCACGGAAGTCTGAACAAGGAAAGAGAGAGAGAGAAAGAGAGACGTGATATATATATATATATATATATAGAAGAGTCAAGGGGAGGAGAAAGAGTGTGTGAGAGAGAGAGAAAGAGAAAGAAAGAAAGAAGGACTGAGCAAGTAGGAGCGACAGGTACCGGTGCCGAGTACGCGTGTGTGTGTGGGTGTTTGCTTATAGATAGACTGCCGAAGCAATGGGTGTTCCAAAGTTCTTCCGCTGGGTGGCCGAGCGTTGCCCGTCCGTCATCACGCCCTTCCGCGACTGCCCGCCGCCCGTCGACAACCTGTACCTCGACATGAACGGCATCATCCACAACTGCACACATACCAACGATGTGGACGCGACGCAGAAGTCGGCGAGCGAGAAGGCGATGGTCGAGGCCATGTTCGCCTACCTGGAGAAGCTCTTCAACACAATGCAGCCGCGCAAGTACTTCCTCCTCGCCGTTGACGGTGTGGCGCCGCGGGCGAAGATGAACCAGCAGCGACAGCGCCGCTACCGCAGCGGCTACGAGATGATGGTCGCACGGCAGGAGGCGCTCGAGCGCGGCGAAGAGCTCCCAGACGAGAAGGACGTCTTCGACAGCAACTGCATCACCCCCGGCACCGATTTCATGGTGCGGGTGAGCGAGCAGTTCCAGTACTTCATCACGATGAAGATTGCCACCGACCCGGCGTGGCAGACCTGCCAGGTGATCTACTCTGGCCACAACCACCCCGGCGAGGGCGAGCACAAGATCGTCGACTTCATCCGCCGCCGCAAGATGCAGCAGGACTACAGCCCCAACGAGACGCACTGCATGTACGGCCTCGATGCCGATCTCGTCATGCTCGCGCTCGCCACACACGAGCCGCACTTCCTCCTGCTACGCGAGGTGGTCACATTTGGCCCTGGACAGGAGTCGCGCCGCATTCGCGAGCAGCGGGAGGAAGACGAGGCGAACGGCATCGTCGCCGATAAGTCGTACCACAAGGCGGATGAGTTTGTGCTTTTTCACGTGAATGTGCTGCGCGATTACCTCGATCTTGACCTCCGCGACAAACTCGGCGCCAAAATTCCCGCCGGCTACGACCTGGAACGCGTTGTGGATGATTTTGTTTTGATGTGTTTCTTCATTGGCAATGACTTTCTGCCGTCAATCCCAACAATTGGCATCAACGATGGCAGCTTGCTGCAGATGCTCGACCTGTACTGCCAGCGCGTGCTGCTGGCCGGCATGCAACTTACCGACAAGGGCAAGGTCGACTGGCGCGCGGTGGAGGTGTGGCTTCAGGGTCTCAGCGAGCTTGAGTTCGCCACGATTAAGGCCCGTGAGGCACAGGAGCAGGAGCACCAGCGCAAGATGTCGCGCCGCGACCCGTCACACGAGGCGGCGTCGATTGCGACAGCAACAGTGGAGTCTCTGCGCGAGTACAAGGACCGCTTCTACCGCGAGAAGCACGGCTTCCCCAACGGGTGGGACCCACAGGGGAAAGAGATGGCCGACCTTCGGCTCCACTACATGGAGGGGCTGCTGTGGGTGATCGGCTATTACTACCAGGGACCACCGTCGTGGAAGTGGTTCTTTCCCCACCACTACGCCCCGATGGCGAGCGATTTGGTGAACCTCCCCGCCATCGCGGCGAAGGTGAAGTTCGACCCTGGCAAACCGTTCTTGCCACACCAGCAGCTCCTCGCTGTGCTGCCACCTATGTCATACCGCTCTATTCCACGTGCCTACTGGCCGCTGCTGCGCAGCAAGAGCAGCCCGCTCGCCAAGTACTTCCCCGAGCACCTGCAGATTGACCGTGAGGGCGCGCGCGCGCCCTGGGAGGGCATCGTGTTGATTCCGTTTATCGATGAGCGCACGCTGCTAGCGTCGTACGAGTCCGTGCAGGATAAGGTGAGCCCAGAGGACGAGGCACACAACCGTCTCGGTATGCCAATTCGCTTCACCTACGATCCGGACATGCCGGCGTGTGAAGTGGCAAACGACATGTTCGGCCCCCTCTCGAACGTCAAAGTGCGGCGGGATGCGTACGAGTTCCCGCCGTTCACGACATTTGTGCCGCGCCTTTGCCCAGGTGTGGCGATTGGCGACAGTCAGCTGGAGGGGTTCGCCACGCTGCGCTCCAAGTGGCGCCACATCGTATTGCAGCGTGAGGTCGGCGCGGTGACCATCTTCGGCATGCCATCACGCAGGGAGAGTGTCATCCTCTCACTGAAGGATGCGTTCAACCTTGTCACCGCGCAGGAGGCGGCGACGCTGGTGGGGCAGGAGATGCTTGTCGGCTTCCCACATTACCGCCGCGCTCGCGTCGCGGCGATCAGCGACAAGCGCATCAGTCTCCGCGCCGTCATAACACCAGATGGCACCTTCTGCGGCACCGAGACGAAGGAGCTGAACCGCGATGAGTCGGCTAACTTCAGCAAGGAGTGCGAGACGCACAAACAATACATAAAGGAGAAGCTCGGTATTGCCGTGGGCAACATATACTTGCTTGTCTATGTGAACCTGTTCTCAGGTATGCGAGTGACGCGCAAGGGCCGCATCGTGCGCAGTTTCTCCAAGGAGGAGACCTGTTACGCGATGCCGCTCGTTGCGCGGCTGCAGGATGTTAACATGATTGAGGACACACGTTACGTGGAGCGTGATCGCGCCGAAGGCGACACGAGCTTCGGCGCCCGCGTCATCTTCATTGGCCCTGAGCCAAAGAACAAGAAGTCGCCGATGCAGGTGTACGGCAGCGCCGGATTCGTACTGGACGCGACATCGCACGGCGACGACATGTACGCTGTGGCGGTGCAAGTGTATCAGGAGCCGCTCACGCTACCGCCGTCTCTGCTGTCCTTCGCCACACAGCGCAACTGGATGGCGCTGCATGAGGTGGCGAGTGAGCTGCGCGTCGGCTCACACCCGCTGCGGCTGCTCACCGGATCGCTGCGCACCACGGCGCAGTACGGCTCGCGCGAGGTCGGCCTTGGCCTCGTCTTTGCGCGCAACCACCTCGCGCGCCTCGGCTACGCGAAGCTCGTCGCGCGCCATACCAATGCGTGGGCGGCGTACGGCGATGACGTCTTCGCCCGCCTCGCGCAGAGTGCGGAGCCGGCCGGGCACTACCTTGACGCCGCCAGTAAGAGCGACTTCCTCGGCCGCTCCAGCCGCAGCGTGCAGTACACGACGTGGTTCTCGCGCGAGGCGGTGGCGCTCATCAAGCGCTACGTGCAGGCGTT